CTCAACACTTCTCTTATGCAGGGCGGTCCTCACCCTGTCACATATGTGCCTCATTCGCAACAGCTGACTCAGACAGTGAATTCTTCGGAAGATCAAAGTAACCAACAGGTTGAACTTTTCCCCCTCTCCCTTTTACATGGATTCACTTGTTATATATTTTCGAGTCTATGTTGATCGGACTCTTCATTTTGCAGTGGACTGGGCAAGGTAAATATGTACCAAACGGTCGAGCTAGAGAGGTGAACAAAGGCTCTGATGCGGCACCTGGTGGTTCGACTCTGTTTCAGCTTTTACACAAGGGAGTGAGATGCTGAGTAGCATGCTTGCTGCGGCTTCACCCGAGCAGCAAAAAACAATACTTGGTGAACGACTTTATCCCCTTGTTCACAAGCACCAGATAATTTCCATAGCCTAGAACACTTGAAGAACATATACAATTACTTTTTAGACACGATCCGACATGAATATCTTCATTTTTCTTGAAAATTTTATGTCCGACACTCGTGTCGGTTGCATATTCATTATTCGAGTACATAACTCTTCAGTGACCTGAACATGGAGAATCATCCCTTCGGACCTATATCGAGATACAAATATCGAACACGAATACTTCAAAGCTAACATGTTTCTCTTGTTTACAGCCTGATCTGGTCCAAAAGGTAACCGGAATGCTTCTAGAGATGGATAACTCTGAACTGCTTCTTCTGTTAGAGTCCCCAGAATCACTGGCAGCCAAAGTGGAGGAAGTCGTGGAGGTTCTCAAGCTCTCAAATGAAAAAATGTCCGGAAGATGCCCTTCATCCCAATTTCCTTTCTGCCGGAGCTGCTGCCAATTGAAATCTTGGCTGTCCAAAAAGAAAAAGGCCATTTCAGTGATTGTGGTAGAATTTGGGTCCTTTGGAGAAAGGGTATTAATCTGTCTGTTATTCAGAAATCTGACCAGTGCATTACTGTTAGAGGTTCTCACCAAGGTATTCCAATGCTTATTTCGGCTATATATGGTAGTAATTGTGGTATTGCTCGTAGACAACTTTGGCATACCTTAAGAGAAGTTGATCATACTGCTAATAATTCACCTTGGGTCTTAGGAGGCGATTTCAATATTATCATGCACTCCTTTGAGAGTTCTGACCACGAGGTCCTTGGCCATTACCTCACCACTGATATGAAAGACTTTCAAGACTTAGCTCATGAGCTTGATCTCCATGACCACCCTTTTTTTGGCCCTTCGTTCACTTGGACCAACAAGCAAAAATAATTTTTTCTTGCAAGGAAACTTGACAGGGTTATGATTAATTCTTATTGGGCATCTTTTTTTCAGCACTCTTTTGTCGAGTTCACTACACCTGGAGTTTCGGACCATTGCATGTCTCTTACTTGGCTATTCAAAGAATCTCTTGCAAACAGGCCGAAGCCTTTTAAATTCTTCAATTTTTGGGCTGCACATCCAAGCTTCAATAATGTAGTAAGTCAATCTTGGTTCCAACCGACTCTTGGCAATCCTATGCAAATTCTCCTTACTAAACTTAAAAGACTCAAAGTGTGTCTTACGAGTTTTAATAAGGAGAACTATAGCAAGCTATCTGATAGAGTCAAACTTGAAAGAATCGAGTTGGAACATCAACAACTTCTCACTCTAAAGGGGCAGGAGAATATCGAAAAGGAACTGCTATTACAAGAAGAGTTGTATACTTTGGAAAATGCCGAAACAGCGTTCCTTAAGCAAAAGACAAAAGTGCAGTGGATTAAAGATGGAGATAAAAACTCCAAATTCTTCTATTCGACGATTGCATTTAAAAACAAGAGGGAAACTATTCGTGTTCTTGTTGATGATCAAGGCAATAGATTGGAGACCTTTGAAGCAATGTCGAAAGAAGTTATCTCTTTTTATTCGAATCTGATTGGTACAACTGATAACAGGGTCAAAGACATTGATCCTAATCTCCTTAAAGATCTTCTCAATTACTCAATGCCATATGGTGCTTCATCTAGCCTTGTTAAGGAAATTACTAGAGAAGAGATTCAGAAAGTTGTATTCTGCCAAGGCAATGATAAAGCTCTCGGACCTGATGGCTACACTCCTTTTTTCTTCAAGAACTCTTGGAATATAGTGGGTGAGGATGTTGTTGCTGCAGTCAAATTTTTCTTTCTCAAGACTACAATTCATCCTGCTTTTAACTCTACTATTATTGCTCTTGTTCCAAAAATTCCAAATCCGAGTGCAATTAAAGACTATCGGCCAATCTCTTGTTGTTCTGTAATCTACAAAATCATTACTAAAATCATTGTTAGAAGATTGACATATTTTCTCCCCGAGATTATTACTCTGAATCAAACGGCTTTCATCAGAGGCAGGAGCATTATAGATAATACCCTCCTTGCTCAGGAGATGGTTAAAGGTTATGGAAGAAATTCCATTTCCCCGAGATGCGCTCTAAAGATTGATCTTCATAAAGCTTTCGACTCCATTCACTGGGGATTTATCATCCAAATTCTTAAAGCTCTCAATCTCCCTCCTGTTTTTATTGAATGGATTAAAGCATGTTTCACACAACCAAGGTTTTCCATTTCTTTTAATGGAACTTTAATAGGCTATTTTAAAGGTGCTAGAGGCCTAAGGCAGGGAGACCCTCTTTCCCCATATCTTTTTGTTCTTGCAATGAACATTTTATCCCGAATGCTCAATTTTGCTGCCGAAAGAGGAATATTTGGTTATCATCCTAAATGCAAGAAAATTGGTCTTACTCACCTCTCGTTTGCTGACGATTTGATGATCTTTTGTAAAGGTAATGTAGACTCTGTTGTTGGTGTGCTTACTATTCTTGACCGATTCTATGAAGTCTCTGGGCTTAAATTGAATCCGGCCAAATGTGAGATTTTTGCTACGGGGATTTCTACAAGAACCATTGATAATTTAAAGATTATTACGGGGTTTCAGATCGGAAGTCTTCCTGTTCGTTATCTTGGTATTCCACTTGTCTCTCGCAAACTTACTGAAAAGGATTGCCAAGCTTTAATTGATATGATCAAGCTAAAACTTCATCAATGGTCTAGCAGAAATCTCAGTTATGCAGGCCGATTAGAGCTCATTAGATCAGTCTTATTCAATGTTAGCAATTATTGGTGCAGACAACTTGTTCTACCATCTTCTATTCTTAAAAAAGTTGATCAAATCTGCTCTAGGTACTTCTGGAAAGGTGCAGATAAATCTGCAGCTGGTGCTCGTGTGAGTTGGGATAATATTTGTACTTCCAAATCAGAAGGTGGCCTCGGATTGAAGAACATTAAAACTTGGAACAGAACTTGTCTCATTCTTCTAATCCGGAAAATATTAGCAGGAAACGGTTCTCTGTGGGTCGCTTGGCTCAACGCTTATGTCTTTAAGGATCGGGATTTTTGGAACTATCAAGCAGCAGCTAACTTAAGTTGGAGCATCAAACGGATCTTAAAAACAAGGGTTGAAGCTCGTCCATTAATTTCTGCGGGTTCTGCGCAAGTCAAGGAAATTTGGGACGTGATTCGTTGTAAAGGGCAGATTGTTATATGGCACAAACTCATTTGGTTTCCACTGCATATTCCAAAGTTTAGCTTGATTGCTTGGATGGCTTTACTCAACAAATTGCCTACAAAAGACCGACTTCTTAGAATGGGAATCAGCAACGACAATACTTGCGTTAACTGCAACAATTCTTACGAGTCAAGAGACCATCTTTTTTCACAATGTACACTGGCAGTGGATCTCTGGAATTTAATTCTGAAACTTAATGGGATGCAGTCCACTTTCTTACCATGGAATGAAATGGTAACAAAGGTTTGTTCCTTATGGAAAGGAAGGTCTTTGCTTACTACCATCCTTAAAATTTCCTGGACTGCAGTTATTTATATTTTGTGGCAAGAGCGAAATCATAGAATCTTCCAAGGCCGTAGTAGAACGATTGATTGCTTGCTAAATGAGGTTAAAGACGTCGTTGGAATCCGTCTTAGGGGAACTAATATTAATAGACTTGATTGTATTAACTTAAAGCTTTGTAATGCTTGGGGTATAGGCTAGCCGATCATTTTGTATATGCTGTTTGTTTTGATGTTGATTGATTGATTGGTTGTATCTTAACTTTGTTTGGGTAATAAAATCAAAATTATTCAAAAAAAAAGAACTAATATCCAATCTCAGCAGTGAACTTTCAAAATTTCCCCAACAGTTTAATTGTTATTTATGAAGTAAATTAAGTAAATTGAATTGAAAGGATTAATTGTTGAGGATAAGCTTACGAGTAGGTTATTTACATCAAAAGAAACCGATCTTATAATGAGTTTTTTTAATTTGATTCCAATTAATTATATAAACAATTATTTATAAAACAAAATCTACACAATGATATGAAAATAAGTTAAAATTAATCAACTAAATTAATTCAATTAAGGGCTATTAGCATGTAGATTGTAAACCACATTATAGCAGGACTTTGAGGAAATTATTGAATGTAAGAGTTGAGGCTATGGAGCTGTTTGATGCTGATGTTAATTTGGCAGTGATAAACAACTGATGGATATGGGATAGGGTAAAAGAGGAAAAGGCTCGTGTGCAGTGACATAGGCTGTTTTGATTTCCTTTCCATGTATCTAAATACTCCATTATTGCTTGGATGATAATTTTGGATAGGTTGCCAATAACAGACAGACTTGCTCCTGTGAGGATGGTTACGGATGGTATGTGTGTCTTGTGTGGTGTTACTGCTGAGACGATGAATCACCTCTTCATGGAGTGTTCCTTTGCCTGTCATGTATGTAGACGGGTTCTGGCTTTGTGTTGTTTACAGCAGGGACAGTTCTGCTGGGAAGATGCCATGAAATGGTGAATTCAAGTCTCTGTGTAGCTTGGAGGATCCAGTGATGGTCCTTTCAACAAAGCGTTTTAACTTCACGGGCTATATCCATGCTACAAGGCCGGCATTATACGGGCCAAACACTCCGATTCAAGGCCCGTTCATTAATCGGTTTCGTAATTTTTCAACAATATATATAAACAGCAACGTCGCTACCCGCTAGGGTTTCTTGGTAAAAAGAGCAGATAGCAGAGCAGCAGCCATGGTTCTCAAGTACGCTCCTTTGTTTTCTTCCTCTTATTTCTTTCAAATTTGTTTATAGATAATGCTTTAGTGTCGTCTATTGTATAATTTACCTGAAAAAACATGGATCTGCCTTTCATTTCATTTTCTTTTCTTATATGTTAGTTGTCTACCACTTTTTCTCCCCCTTGTTTTTGTTAGGATATATTCACATGTTAATTTCAATGTTAATCAGATTTGTGATGAAACTGCATCGTTGAAGCTTTTCATTTTCAGTCGGATATCCGTGATATAAGATTCAGCTAGCTTATTGAATGAAGTTAATAGCTCTGAACTAACGAAAATGAGAGTTTAATACCCGCTGTAATTTGATTTTTTGAACATTATACGGAGGCCAAGGCAATCAATTGATATCTTTCTGAAATAGATATCTCATTTTCTGGTCTGGGTCATTTTTTTTATAGGAATAGAATGCCTCGTTAAAAACCTCCCTCATAGTTGCCTCTTGTAAGGAGACAAATAGCGGAAGGAGGAAAAGAGTGCCTAAATATATTAATGACCCATAATTACATAAGATTCCAAACATTACATAAAATTACCTAACATAGAACCATAACCACTACTCATAACAACAACCTCCTCACTCACTAACCAATTCCTGACTTAGCTAGACAATCAGCTTCCACATTAGTACATCTGCTGATATGCTTAATGATAACATTAGACTGCACAACTATCTTCTGAATTTCTGTAATCAAATCAACAAGGTGAACCGGGCTGTTGATCCACATCACAGCAAGAAACGAGTCACTTTCCAAAATCAGAATTCCTTTGTCCCTCCAAACTGACTCAAAAAACACTTCTAACCCCACTTTGATAGCAAATATCTCAGCAAGAATAGGAGAACAAGATCCTAATGCTCTAGAAAAAGAAACCAGCTTGTTCTTATCAGCGTCTTTAAGAACTCCACCAATACCACTTCTTCTCCAATCAAAGTTAACAGCCCCATCAACATTCATCTTAAAATAACCTGTAGGAGGAGGGCACCATTTTACTCTTGACAAACGAAAATTAGAGGGGGACTTATGCAAATCCGCCGAAGTAAGATCTCCCACAAGGCTGTCCACTTGGATAGACACATCCTTGTTTTTAGCTAAAAACCATGAAGCCACCCTATACCTCACCAAAAAAACAGATTAGCTCTATCCAACTTGCCTTTCTCAAATACAATCTGGTTCCTACACAGCCAGACAGACCACAAAACAGCTCCTGGGATAAATCTCCAAATACACGAGTTTGGTTTTTTCATATGATGTATTGGTTTTTTCCATTACCAAATTTTCACCTATATTATGGTCTGGGTCATTGAATAGTTTCTCTGTAAATAATATTTTTTTCTTCTTGTATACTATGTTACCTGTTCTGGGAGTTTGTATTTCAAATTTCTTCCACTCCTTTGGAGTATTTGGGGGATCACAATACCATACACTTGCCCTAAAAGTTGTCGAAACATGGGTGCTTCAAGAAAAAGGATAACTGAGCAACATAGATTGGAATACAAGTTTCTGACACTGGTAATTTAGGGGGAAATTGGGAATAGCTTATGAGTTACTCTTTTCTTCATTGTGCTATGGGATGTTATTTGTTTTTCGCGATGAAGATTGAAGAGTGTAAGGGCAATTCCAGTTGGAATTATTTTATGTTGATGGTGATTGTTGTCTTTTTATTTACTCTATTGTGTAACGATCTATTGATAGGTTAATATTTTGTGTAGGGATGTATAAGGTTTGGTATTATCCATTGGCTTTATTTCATTATTACAAAAGTTTGTAATTTGAAGTTCCCAAACCTTGTGCTTATTTTTCTTTTTCTCCCTTTTAATGTTAGGACTGAGCTTTGTCGGTTTAGTGGTGCCAAGATATACCCAGGGAAAGGCATCAGATTTGTTCGTTCTGATTCTCAGGTATAGTTCCATCCAATTCTGGGTCCAAATGGTCGGTATTATCTATACTGGTTAACAAAATATGTTTTGCCTCAATTTGCTTAGGTCTTCCTCTTTTCAAATTCGAAATGCAAGAGGTACTTCCATAACCGTTTGAAGCCATCAAAACTTACATGGACAGCCATGTACAGGAAGCAACATAAGAAGGTGAGTGTCAGCCTAGCGAACACAGTTTCATTTCAGAAGATTTTGTTTCTTTTAATTAGATTACCGATGAGATTTGAAGTAATTTCATCTAGTTTTCATGCCTGTTGTATTAGTTTTGCTGTTGTGTAAATGCATGTAGGATATTGCCCAAGAGGCTGTTAGGAAGAGGAGGCGCACCACAAAGAAGCCTTACTCCAGATCCATCGTAGGTGCCACCTTAGAGGTTATCCAGAAGAAGAGGAGCGAGAAACCCGAAGTTCGTGATGCTGCTCGGGAAGCTGCACTCCGGTATGTGGTTTTTTCATATGATGTATTGGTTTTTTCCATTACCAAATTTTGACCTATATTATGCTGCCTGTTGTGAAGAGAAATCAAGGAAAGGATCAAGAAAACCAAGGATGAAAAGAAAGCGAAGAAAGCCGAAGTAGTGGCGAAGCAACAGAAGACACAAGGCAAGGGTAATGTTCCGAAGGGTGGTGCACCGAAAGGTCCCAAGCTTGGTGGTGGTGGTGGGAAGCGTTGAGTTAAGTTATTATCACTTTTCCCTACCCTGAGAAATATGTAGTATTTTCATATTGACATTAATGTATGGTATGGATTGCCTTGTTGTTTATGTTTTTGCCTTTTTGCTTATGTACCGTGTTCTCGGTGTTGAAGTCAATTTATCAAGTAATTTTATGGATTATTTTTTTTAATTTAAAGTTTTTGTTGTTACTAAAATGTTTTTAAAAGTATTTGTATTGATTTTTAGCATTTTCTTTAACTTAAAAAAACAGTTTAATAAATATGTTTCTGTGAATAACAATGGGTTGATGTTAATTTTTTAACGGAAAATGGAAGGGTTTGAAATATATTAATAATTGAGTGATTATTTTTTAACTTTTAATAGTCGATGAATTTAACAAAATAATGCATCATAGTTAAAAGATCATTTTATAATTTTTTTATAATCGAGAAATATTTAGTTAATTAAAATATGTATTATGTGTAAATTATAAATTTAGTTTAACTGTTGTTAGTCTTTATATATTTTAAAATTTCAATTCTCATTACAACAAATTTAAAATGAGAAAATAAATGTTAAACTAACCATTGGAATCAATTACAATAGAAACTCTTTAAATTAATACTCGGTAAATTAATAAACTCTCTAAAATAATAAATTTGTCCGATCCCGACTTGGGCCAATGTAAAAATTTGAAAAACTCGATAAAATAATAAGATAATAATTTTTCGTGAGATCCCTTTATAATTTTCGATCCCAATAAAATCATAAATTAATAATTTATAGAAACTGAAAAAAATATATTACACTCTATTAATTTCCAATGCATATGAACACAGTAGTTACTAATTTACGTTGAGTCTCAAGGTTCGCTACAACGTAATTCTAAGAGACATAGATTAATTTACCTTTTTGTTTGGTATGTACAGTATAATTACTTAAAAACTCTTTAAATTAATAATTATTAATTTATCGATAAATTAATAACTCTCTAAATTAATAAATTTCTTCGGTCCTGATATTATTAATTTATAGAGTTTTAACTGTAATATCATAATATTATAAATAATTACAGTTAAATTTAAATAATAAATAAATATATATATTTGATTTAAATCGATTTGAATTTTATTATTTTGACTACAAAAATATTTGATAAAATTTATAAATTTGATTAATTTGAATTTGTTTTATTCAATTTGTTTGAATATTTGGTTCGAAATAATATTTTTAAAAATTTTGGGTTGAAATTCCAGTGAAGGGCCCATGAAAAAGGCCGATTCGTTCCATACAGAACACGGATCCCACCCACGTGCCGATTCGTTCCCAACTTTCCCTCATTACTTAACGGAACCGTCTCTACTCGTCACGGCCCATCATTTTCCGTCCAACTATTCCCCCAGTCTGTCCTCGACGTCTCTCCCTTCACCCCCTAACGTCATCCGTTCGAATCCGTTCCCCCTTAAACCTAACGTCCGCCTATGGCTTCTTCCGTTGACGACGAGTTCTCTCTTATCGACGACCACGAACCTAATCCCGGTCATCACCACCACTACCACCCTTCTTATGCGCAGGTCCACGCGCCACCACCCGATAATCAAAATGCCGACGATGACTCCGACTCTGCTTTCCCTGGAGCCAATTTCGGTACCAACAACGACAGTAGTAACGCTGCGTCATCTGATGTGCGGATCGAGAAGAGGAGAGATCAAGAAGAGATAAACGACGGAGTTTTGAAGAGATCGAAGCAGTCGACGTCGACGGAGTACCGGAAAGACAGAGAAGAATGGAGCGACACTGCGATCGGGTGTTTGTTGGAGGCGTATATGGAGAAGTTGACGCAGCTGAACAGAGGGAACCTGAGAGGGAGAGATTGGGAAGAAGTGGCGGCCGCGGTCAGCGAGCGGTGCGAGAAGCAGAACAAGAGTGTGGAACAGTGCAAGAACAAAGTTGATAATTTGAAGAAAAGGTATAAGCTTGAGAGGCATAGGATGGGTGATGGCGGCATCACGGCGAGTCATTGGCCTTGGTTTAGGAAAATGGAAGAGATTGTTGGTAATTCTCTGCCGGCGAAGGCGGTGGCTGGTGAAGATAAGGGCGGATCTTCTCCAGGAACTGCTGTTCGACAATCCCATAGGTATATTTTGATAGCAGTCCATTTCTGCTTATTATTTGCTAATGTTTCACTAGGCTCAAATGTAGCCAGGGAATAACTTGAGAAATGATTGTTTGTGATCTTCAAATTTGTTATCTGCTAAAGTAAAGTGGATTCGAATGTATAATTCTGGTCTATTATCTGCATAAGTAATGTAGATTCCGATAATGGATATCCAAATTCCAAAGGTTCAAATCTGCACTAAATTCGGAAATCTTTGACAACGACTGCTAGACTATTATTTGTTACAGTTATGAGGGTTCATACTCGTAACCTCTACTGTAAATAAATAAATAGGGAAGAGATAATGAAATGGTTGGTATGCTGGTCTAATATAATCCATTATTGACATTAATAATCAGGGAAAACTTGAGCAAACATTCCCAGTTTCACTATTTTATTGGATTCGTTTGAAATGATGCTATTCTCTAGTTTTTTTCAGTAAAATACTAAAATTTGAGTCTGTATTTTATTTTATTGCTTCATTGTACTGAATTTGTATTTCAAATGTTCTATCTTTTGATAGTTCCTGATTCTGGCTTGCTATAATGTTGATGCCTAGTTTGTGATTAAAAGACGTTTTTAGTGTATTTTGTTGTTTATATAATGATAGAGATCCCTTCATCGTTGTTTGATTGGCAGATATGCTTTAGCTACACCCAGCCCTGTAGGACAGATTACAATGAAACCCAAAAGTCCTAAATGGCGCAGAGTGGTATTCAAAATTAGTGGTGCAGCTCTTGCTTGCACCGGTCCTCTCAATATCGACCCTAAGGTTGACCATGAGTTTGTTATATGAAGTTTGAAACTTCGATAATATTGTTGTCAATTTGCATAAATGTGATTTCTTTCTCATTATCAGGTAGCAATGTTGATTGCCAGGGAAGTTGCAATTGCATGCCGTCTCGGTGTAGAGGTAACCATTAATGCCTTTATCTCTTATGATTGTGGATATTTGCAATTCTGTTAAGATGCAATATCTTTTTGGTGAAATCCCAGGTAGCAATCGTTGTTGGAGGTCGCAATTTCTTTTGTGGAGAGACGTGGGTTACTGCAACAGGTTTAGATAGAAGTACTGCATATCAAATTGGGTAATGTGTTATCTTCTTGACTCATGATGGATGATTACAAACCAAATTTGGTTTAATCTTGAACTATATAATAGAAGAGTATAAAGCTTAAACTCGGGTCAGACTTGTAAGACTGAGCTTGCTGATATATAGTTGTTTGATAGTTTTATAGTTCCCGGGTTATTATCATAAACCAATACTTTTTGGCTGTTTTTGGTAATGACTTGCATTGGGTGGTATATGTAAGTTGTAAGTTGTAAGTTGTATGTTGATTAAATTCAGGCGCAAGTATCCGAAATGAGTATGTTTCTCACATGGGTATGCTTAATTCTTTCCAAGACTTTCATGTCTTTGGAGGGTCCTTGGAAAATCATTTTCACATACTCATGTCAGAGTATGTGTTGGACATAGGTGTTGGAAACGGGTATTTTAGGAAAGATAAACAGTTAGTAACATAGTCTTTTTATATATTTATATCCAATAATCAGAATAAAATGATGGGGCCACAATAAAGATCTTAGATAATGAATCCACTTGTTAGGTGAACTTTCGTTCTTCGTTCGGTAACAAGAGTCATGGGTTAACATATATCTTCATATCTGATTATGAAACTAATCAAACCCATGATCCTGCAACTTACTGCAGCATGATGGCGTCCGTGATGAATTCTATACTACTGCAATCATCGTTGGAGAAGATGGGAGTTCAGACCCGTGTGCAAACTGCATTTTCTGTGCAAGAGGTTGCAGAACCATACAGTCGGCAACGTGCCATACGTCATCTTGAAAAAGGTAGAGTTGTAATATTCGGTGGCATTGGTGCTGGCACTGGAAATCCACTCTTTTCTACCGACACAGCTGCAGCACTTCGAGCTTCAGAAAGTATGGTCCTCTCTTTCTGGTTTTCTACCATTCAATCTCTTGAACTATGTCTCTTTTTTCTTTGTTCCCCTTCCGTATCTGTCATGGAACACTTGTATGCATGTAAACACTTTTTTCTTTCCTTTTTCTTGGGGTTCTCGACATTTGATTTGTCTACTGTGTTCTCTTCAGTTCAAGCCGAGGCAGTTGTTAAAGGTACGAATGTCGACGGTGTTTATGACTGCCATTCCCAGGATAACAATGCTACCTTTGAGCACATCTCGTTTCGAGATTTAGTCTCAAGAGGTGCCACAGCCATGGACATGATGGCATTGACCTTCTGTGAAGAAAATGGCATTCCTGGTTGGTATACTTGTAGAAATCACGCTTCATGTTTTTTGTTCTGGGTTTTTACGAGTAGCTTCCGAAATATGTTATCGTTCTTCATTACCAGACAATCGATCCCCTACGAATTAAATCCATTTACTTTGGCACAGTTGTGGTCTTTAATCTTCTTCATCCTGGAAACATCTCGAAAGCATTATGTGGAGATCAAGTTGGTACGTTGATAGATCAAACTGGAAGGATAAGCTGATCCGATGCTTTTCCAGTTGTTGTGACCATGGCTAATGTACTCTAGTAACAACAAGTGTTGTGTGGTAGCTCAGCTGCCGTTTCTACAACTGAGACTTTGATTGATTCTTGACCCGAAGATGCTGCTGCTGTAACATCTGGAGGCCAGGTTTTATTTTTAGCCTGCAATGCCCAAAAATCCGTAATTTCGTATGGTGGCCATATTTATTGTATTTAAATGCATAAGAAATAGCATCAACTTATTGAAACATCAGCCGTGGAAGATGATTGCTGCAATGTACCATTACAGATTCATAAGAACTCAAAGTGATACTGTGAGATTTTTCCAGTTCACTGATAATACCCTAGATTAGAATTAGAAGTAGGTCATTAGCTGAAACGTATTATTGTTGACATGTATCCGAAATTTTATTATTTTTCGAGATTTTCGATAACGAAAAAGGTGAGAACCTATATTACTCAGACTCGGGTATTGGTGTCATATATGTGAATGTTCAGGTGTTGTAATGTATTTAAAGAGTTATATTACCATACTCGTCTCCAGGTCGAGAAAACTTGAAGTGTCGGAGTAGCATAGGTAATAATTCTGACCGTTGCGGCTAAAACAAGTCTATGCACCGTCACTCTATGTGTTATGAACTTGTGTTCTTGACAGGAAGGTCGAAGATGGTGGAATTCAGTGCGGATCGTGAAGAATGATGGTCAAAAGTTTTGCCGTTGGGATTGTTTCTAAAGTAAGAGGACTGTGAAGTCAAGTGAGTTCTTCTTGCTTTCAGTTTTAGATAAAACACTTTTCATTCAAAATTTATTATAATTTTTTTTAATTAATCACTAGTATCCGATCTATTGATCGACTAATCTATATCGGATACTGCAGAGGTCAGGATTCGAACTCATGACCTTGCTTAAGAGACCTAGTGTCTCGTCCCATTAGACCAACTGGTTGTTGGTTTAAAAAAATTCATTATATATTTTAGTTGCAGTTGTCCATGATTATACGATAAATAATATAATACTATATTATATTTAAATGTGTATAATTAACCTTTGACTTATAGGCAGAATGTAACGTTGAAATGAAAATCTTTAGAATCCATATGATCCAAAAAGACAATTAAACCAATATATTATATTCTCGGGCTGGGGACCGATGCGTCGAAGCTGACGTAAGCTCAATCAATGCAAAATCATAAATAGTATAAAATAACTTAAATTTTATAATTAGGATTATCAAAACATACTTCTTGTTTTAGGGACCTTTGAGAGTCCATCCAAATCACCTGAACATTCGCTTCATGTGAACCTTGAACATAAAGAATATAATATTCAGCACGATATTATATAATCTGAAAATTAATTAATAGAATCATTTTAAGTTTTTCATTATTAGTTTTATTATAATTAATCTATTTTTTTTATTAAAGAATAAGGTACCGTTTTATACGACATTGTTTTATTGAGTCATTTGATTATTTAAAATTATAAAATGGTCTCTCAATTATAAGACATTGTTTTGTTGATTCGTCGACTATTAAAAGTTATAAAATGATCATCTAATTATTCATATATTTTAAATCTGTCCTTTTTCGTTAAACATTTAAATAAATTCCAATTTGACCTCCGTAAATTTGGCAGTGATGTTTCTCTTTAAACACTATCATGTTGGAGTATATCAATATTTTTTTAATACAAGATTTTATTCTCTCTAATACACATATTACGAACTTATCAAGTGACTTCAATGATAAAAGAGAATAGTGTTTTCGTTTTAAGATTTAGGTTCAAATAGTTACGTATGTAGGATATGTATGCGTTGTTAACAAATTAAAAAAAAATTCTGAATAAATATTACTTTATAACCGCTTCATGTTTTTTTTTTAAAAACATCAATTCTTTTATTAATCTTTAATGATTTGTACCTTAAATCATTGTACTATGAAACCTTTGTTGATACTATTATTATTTAGTTAATTAATAATAATTAATTTTATTAAACAATAAGAAAGTACAACAAAATCACAACCTCAATAAAGATAAGTCTATATGAGATAAGATAATATTTAAACACACTGTACCAACCTATATGAGATTATTTACATTACATTACATTACCAACCGCTGGCTCAACTTGTACAATACTTAATATGCTTCATTCTTAAAATTAAGACCAATTTTGCAACTTATTTTGATCCCAAGAGATATTCCCCTTTTTTGGCATTTACTATAATGACTTGTCATTATCTGAATGTTAATAATCCATTCATTATGCAAATGTGTATTTAAATTGTAAATTTTTTAATATTTGGGATTCTAGCAAACGCCTTTATATATACATGCAACTCTCAGCGATGGATATCAAAGTTAAAGGACCACAAAGTAAAAATCAGTAATTATTACCAAATTAAGGACCACAATAGAAGGACCACGACGTAAAAAATAGTAGTTATTACCAACATTAAGGACCACGAAGTAAAAAAATGAAAAAGGCATGTCACTGTTGATCAAAATTAAAAAGTAGTAACCAAAAATCAGTTGGTCTAGTTGGATGAGGCATTAGGTCCCTTAAGCAACATAAGGGGTTCGAATCTTGGCGTTTGCGAATGGAGCAAACTGGGTTAGGAGGGTCACCCTCGCTTCTGCAGTATCCGATCTGGATTAGTCGGTCAATAGATCGGATATCAGTGATTAATTCAAAAAAAATTAAAAAGTAGTAATTATTTGCAAAATTAAGGACCACAAATAAATTAATGTGAGTTTTTAGAAAAGAAATTAATTCTTTAAAAACGCAAATCTTTTATCATGTAGATCAAGCAAATATGTCAAGTAATTGATGTTAAACTCAATGCCTAAATATTAATCTAATTTTGACTAAATTAATTGAATTGAAATCGAAGCTTTATTTGATAATAGCATCATATCAGTATTTATACTATATTTAAGTTATATTTTAACCCCTCCTATTATAAAAATTGACAAATTAGTCCATGTACATTTAGAATAAGAATAAAACGATACACTTTTACCATTAACTGTGCACTTAAACGATAAAATTAGACGAAAATGTTCATAGAGGGATTATTTTTCCCCTACTCAAAATATACTCGAACCAATTTATCATTTTCCAATAAAAAATAAAAATGTAATCGAAAATAATAAAAACTGCTATAATGATCAAAATCAGTATTTTTATTAATATTTTTTTATAATAATTTGTTGGAATTTGGACTGTGGGCTTTTAGTTCAGATGTATGCTTTCTATCAAGTATTTAATAAATATTAAAATAATATACTTAATTTTTCAAATTTTAACTTTATTTGAATTGATTGAGTTGGAAATCAATAGAAGATTTAATTTAATTTTTTATTAATCAATATCAACAAATTCAATCTTGTTTTATTTTAACTTGGAATATATGTATATATATTAAAATTATATATATATATATATATATATATATATATATATATATATATATATTAAAAATATATTTAAAAATAATGGTAGGTTGAAGATACCTATCAAAAAGTTCTCATGACAAGTCTCTGCATGATTTGTCACGTAACTAACTCTACAGGCTTTTATAAAGAGTGCTTCTCCTTGTATGTGAAACCATTGTTATGATTTAAACGTAATATCTATCTATATTCATACATAATAAATGGAGCACGAAATTTTGGGGTTAAGTATAGCACTTTTGCTATGGGTTGCATGGGCCATGAGGATAGAGCGGCGCCACCGCCGCTTGGAAGAGCTAGGCCGACTTCCACCAGGACCAACATGGTGGCCGGTGGTCGGTAATATTTTCCAATTAGGGTTGGCGCCGCCGCATGTTTCATTTGCCAAGTTGGCTCGTCGACATGGACCCATCATGACCCTGTGGTTAGGCTCGATGAGCACCGTGGTCGTCTCGTCCAACGAGGTGGCTCGCGAGATGTTCAAGAACCACGACGTGGTGCTGGCTGGCCGGAAGATCTACGAGGCCATGAAAGGTGATTTTGGCCACGAAGGCTCCCTCATAACGTCCCAGTACGGCCCGCACTGGCGGATGCTGAGAAGACTCTGCACGACGGAGTTCTTCGTGACCAGCCGTCTCGACGCCATGCGGGGAGTCCGGAGACGGTGCATCGACCGGATGTTGCATTTCGTAGAAGAAGCCGGCGCGAACGGGACGAATCCAATCGACGTCGGGAGATTCGTGTTCCTGATGGCGTTTAACCTGATCGGAAACCTCATGTTCTCCAAAGATTTGTTGGACCATAAATCGGAGAAAGGTGCTAGGTTCTTCTATCACGCCGGGAAAGTGATGGAGTTGGCCGGTAAACCGAATGTTGCAGATTTTTTACCCGTTTTAAAATGGGTCGACCCGCAAGGTATAAGGAGGAAAACCCAATTCCATGTTAGAAAAGCTTTTGAAATTGCCGGAGGATTCATTAAAGAAAGGATGGAAAGCAGTGGAAATGGAGAAGATGAAGGAAGAAGAAAGGACTTTTTGGATGTTCTTTTGGAGTTTCGTGGTGATGGCATAGAGGAGCCTTCTAAGTTTTCTGCTCGAACCATCAATGTCATCGTCTTCGTAAGTTGCACTAATTTACTCCCTATAATATTTTAATGGCTTAATTACAAAAAACAACCCTAACGTTTGACTAAATAATATATTACATTTTTGTATGGTATGGTAGGAGATGTTCACCGCCGGAACCGATACTACAACAAGCACGTTAGAGTGGGCGATGGCGGAGCTTCTCCACAACCCAAGGACACTAAAAGCCGTCCAAACTGAATTGAGAGACAATCTAGGCCCCCATGGGAGGAAACTTGAAGAACAAGACATCCAAAACCTACCTTATCTCAAAGCAGTGATCAAAGAAACCCTAAGACTTCACCCACCACTCCCTTTCTTAGTCCCTCACATGGCAATGGACTCTTGCAAGATGTTAGGTTACCAAATCCCCAAGGAAACCCAAGTTTTGGTCAATGTTTGGGCTATCGGACGAGATCCGAAAACGTGGGAGAACCCTTTAGAGTTCCGACCCGAGCGATTCTTGGAGTCGAGTACACTGGATTATAAGGGTCAGCATTTCGAGTTCATACCATTCGGATCCGGTCGTCGGATGTGTCCCGCGGTGCCGCTTGCGTCTCGATTGCTTCCGATGGCGCTCGGCTCGTTGTTGCATTGCTTTGATTGGAGTTTAGCCGAAGGGATTAAGCCCGAAGATATGGATATGAATGAGAGAATGGGGATAACATTGAGGAAATCCATTCCCTTGAAGGCCTTACCAATACCTTACAAGAGCCCTTAAACACCCCTCGCATACGGATTTCAGACGTTCAAAATCCAACCTTTTAAACTTGTTAGCTATTACCTATTAAGCTTAATCGCATCAATTATTCGAATTTCAAGAAGATCAGTGATGTTCTTATGTATATGTATACTACAGTTCGAGTTCCGGAGTTGTGAATAATATTATATCTTTAGTAATTATTGTGAATAAAATTGATACCCCATCAAAAATAATTATTTTCATTGTATTCGAACTTTGAGAAATGTTTTTAGATATAATAAAATATTAGTAGGTTAAATTATAGTATTTGAAGGAAGAATATTTGATTTGGTGGTTAACGTGAAATCATGCTCTTTTGCTCCAAAGATGTCATTCCAAAATAAATATATAAAAACATTCCAGGAAGGTGATAGAAACTTGTCAACATACATATGATATTCTAAAATTTAAATTGTTTTTAATAATTATTTATTATTTATTTATATTTATCTTAAAATTTATTTGTGTTTATCATGTATAAAAATTTCATGTTATTAATATATATATATATATATATATATATATATTGTTCTAAAAATATTTTTAAATTCATCAATTATTATAATATGATAAACTGTTCATGCAAATTGCAATGCAGCCTTTAATTCGACGGCAAAGCCGCTTACGTTAGGCGACGAGTTTAACTTGCTTAATTTTTTTTTTCATGCCAATGTAGGTTGCATTAGATGTAGGGATGTGCATGGAACCCGAATCTGACGGGTTCCGATCTGACCTGACTGATCGGGTAAGGATTTTTTAAAAAAAATGGTTTCGGGTTAGGTCGGGTTTGGGTTTAGGGTGAAAATAATCGACCCGACCCGATCCAAAAAATATATATAATGTTATCTTATATATTTAAGAATAATTACAATAATACCCCTCTATATATTATTTTTTTAAATTAAGTAACTGTTTTTTAAAATAATATTTTTATTATTTCGGGTCGGGTGAAATCTTGTTTTGATCGGGTCAGGTCGGGTCTCGGGTGGATGATTCCTTATTATCGGGTCGGGTCGGGTGGACCAAAAACCTGACCCATGCCCATCCCTAATTAGATGTAAACTTTGACGGGATTTAATTAAAAAATAATTTTTAATCAATTTATTAACATTAGACGACGATTTATTTTAGTTATTATAAAATAATATATTATAATTTTTTTATATAATTCTTGAATATCAGTAGTTCTTTTATTTTTATTTTTTCAAGTACAATATTATCTTCATCAAGCCTATTCAAATACACCCTAAAATAAAAGATTGAATATGTGATTTTGAGTTAAATGTAGAAATTAATTAATTAAAATTTGCATTCGGTACAAATTTTAATATATAATTAAGAGATATGTGAATGAATATGATATGATTTATAAATTATTATTATTATTTTGGTTGTTCTTTCGATTTTCTAGGATTTTGTCTTGACTAATTCGGATTAATCTGTGTCGTACATTTAGTTTTGGTAGGTGAGTCTCCTAATTGAAATTTTATGCATACACAAAGTCTTGAACTCCATACCAGTTTAAGCGATATCAAACTGCTTACCACTTGAATCAGCTCTTTGATATAAATTATTATTCGATACATATTGATAAACCCTAAATCATGAACCCTAAATCGTAAACTCTAAACCTTAAACACTTCTGACTTTCATAATACTCAAACCCGAGACCTAGAGGTGCACAAAAAATCCGAATATCCGATTTTGGGTAAAAAATATCCGAAACCGGATTTTGGAAAAACCGGTTTTTTTTAAACCGGATCGGATATTTAAAAACCGGATAGTATAACCGGTTTGGGAAAAAATTGAACGACCGGTTTTTTTACCGGATTAAAAACCGATTTTTTTCAAACCGGATAAAAAACCGGTTTTTTTAAAAAACTGGATTTTTATCCGAAATAATCCGATTTTTTTTTTAATCGGTTTTTTGCAAACCGAAACCGGTTACACCATCCGACCCTCCAAACCGGTTAGGATCCGAACCGGTTTTTTTAAAATCCGGTTTTTGGGTTGGGAGAAAAAACCGGATCGGTTTTTATCCGATCCGGATCGAATTAAAATCCGACTTCTGTGCATCTCTACCGAGACCTCAAAAAATAACAACATTTCGTTTACAACTCTAAAAAAATGTACTATTTTATTTAGTGTTGGGGAAGAAAAAGATCTCAGTTCTTGATATGACAAAATCTGGTAATATCTTATACCAATTATTCTAAAACAAATCTCCATTATCAAAATAACTCAAATTCAACGTGCTCTCCGGCGGCTTTACATTCCAAATAATTGTTCTTTGTTTCAAGAGACGTCGTGGCCGGAACCCCGAATTCATATATCTCGGGTAGTTCCGGTGGAACAGCGCATCGTATCAAAGCCCAATTCAAGCCATCGAAGAAAGGGTGATGCTTGATCTCGGCAGCTCCCTTTTTTGATCCTAGACGATTCTCGGGTTCCTTTACCAACAGCCCTCGGATGAGTTCCCTGGCTTGGACACTAACAAGAGGACTATCCGGGAACTTAAGGCATTGCAGCACGACATTAGCCAGCGTTTCATCGTTCCCTGCACCTTTAAATGGTGTCTTTCCGTAGAGAAGCTCGTAAAGAAAGACACCATAGGTCCACCAATCAACAGCGGCTCCATGCCCCTCTCCTTTAATGATCTCAGGAGCTAAGTACTCGTGGGTTCCAACGAAGGAATTGGATCTTGCATCGGTAGGCTCAGCCACAAGCTGTGGCAACGATCTGACACGGGAAGCAAGGTTTGGTCTTGCCGTCTTTGTTTTTGCAGCAGCAGGCAATAACTTAGGACTGAAGCATCGGATTTGACACGAGTGTTCAATGCAGAAGGGTTCAGTGCAGCCAGATCCTCCACACGGGCCGGATATCCTTGCAGGATCCAGAATCGAAGAAGATTTCAGGAGAGTAGGACTAACCGTGCATCTAAGCGAAAGGTCGAAATCTGTAAGCATTATGTGGCCATCTTCTCGGACAAGAATGTTTTCTGGTTTCAAATCGCGGTAAATAACTCCAAGCATGTGCAAGTACTCCAAAGCAAGAAGGACCTCAGCTACATAAAACCTACATATAAAATAATAAATATAACCAGTTCGGATATCGGAACATATCGTGCTTTATATCTTCAAACTGAATGAGTGAACCGAAACATGCAAGATCAAAGATAATTCAAACTACCATAAGGAAATACAAATTCAAGTTTACATTTTATCGTCTAAGCATCTTACCTAGCTGCCGGCTCAGAGAAACATCTCCCGGGCTGCCTTTGCCGAAGGACATGCAGGTCCCCACCCGGACAGTACTCCATAACCAAACATGATAAGTTATCTGATGTGAATTGTGTAAATAACGTAGGTAGAAAAGGATGATCAAGCATCCTTAATATTTCTCTCTCGGTTTGTGCCCTCATCATTTTCTTCCTTCTTGCCAAATATTCATTGTCCATGATCTTTAATGCGAACAAGCAGTTTGTACCGATAAGCTCAGCAAGATATACTGTCCCGATATCCCCACAACCGAGCTTCTTTAAAAGATTGAAATGTCTCAACCCCAAGATTCCATCCTGCATTTTAACGTGTCGGATGGCTTCCCACCTTACATCCTTTGACATGTGAGGTCTATTCCCACAGCTAGACCGACTTAAATTGCTGTAATCACTGATGCTCGTGCTCCTACTATCACCAAGGCTACTCGGACTATGGGAGAAATCTCCCTTGTCTCTCGAGTTTGGGCTCTTGTTAGCCCTCGGAATTGGGGCTCGGCTTTTGTTAGAATTGTTTTCACCCATTGATGGTCCGCACACATCAAAATTCACATTACTCGAGTTAACTTCATCACTAATCGCCGATGCAAGCGACTTCATGGAATCTTGATTAGACTCATTACTTGAACTCTTCAGAGAGCATTGACATCTCTGACAAACTAATTGACTCGAAGTGGAACCCAAGCTGTTGTTAACACCGTTGGAAGTATTAACAGCACCGGTGGTAGAAGAGGAACCCGGCTTTATTTTTTTCTTCACCAAACCCTTGTTCCGGACAACTGTTTTGGTCACCCGGGGTATATTTCTCGTCATCCTGCTTACCTTGCTGCCATTTATTGATCTAGAAGAAGCAACAGCATACAGCCGGAACTTTCGTCCCGACTTTGGCGTTGATGCTCGTTTTGGTAATTTGGTTGAAGCAGGCACAATATTGTCAGGTTCTACAGTATTATTATCGGCATAAGAACAAGATGTCGAAGATGCAAAAGTATGCTTCTCTTTCAGATGAAGCTCAGCCTTTGGTGCGCTAGTTCCAGCTTTTCTCAATGCAGAAACATCAGTTTGACTCGATGTAGAAGCTTCGGTGCTAATTTGTGTAGTTGCACGAGTAAATCGAGGTGAAGAATTAGTACTTCGACTCAATGGCTTTACCTTGGGAGCTTGAGAAGAAGCTGATTTGCTTTCTTCAGGCACCAAAGATATTTCAACCACACCCCTCTTACCTTCACCTCCGGAACAACCTGATCCACCGGCGGGTTCAACTACAACTGATTTGAACACATTTTTTATCCTTCCAGCTTCAGACACCCCGGGAGAACTAATTGACATTGATTTCCTTTTTATAGCAGCCATTTCCGATGCCTTGGAAACACAAAGATCCCTTAATGCCTGTTTTAGTGACAACGTCTCCGAGCCACCTATTCTCGGGGACTGGGGCATCCCCACCGTAATCGGCTTCTTCGATGCATTTTGCTTTAAGGAGCTTGAGCTTGCACCTCCTTGGTAAGAAACACTTAAACCTTGTGGACCTTTAAGCTTGATAGACTCGAAAAGCCGATTAATATCCCCTTCAAGAGAATCCTTGTATCCCAGTTTCGATACAGGCGGCTTCCGATCTTTGTCACCTAAACGTGATCCCGAATGTGGTCGGGCTGACCCTGTAGATTGTCGTACCGGTTTCAACTCTTTGCCAGCTTCTACGATTTCACGAGTACCAGCATATGAACCCATTCTAACCGCTACAGAGTACAAAAATCTCTCAGCTATATCCTAAAGAAACAATACAATACAAACCTCAGCCTCCTCAAGAACAACTCGGATACATACATACATACATACATTGCCAAAAAATTTACAGAAATGGTAAAGCTTTCAGAGAAAATCATCCAATATCACGAACTACAACAAGTACCTAAGTAGATTTCATTAAATTCATTCGATCTCGAGTATCTACTATCATCGTCAGCTCCTGAATCTTACGACGCTTTAATTCAAAATTTCACTATGACCATAAACGGATTAGTTAAAATAACTAAACATGAAAAACAAACCCAGAAATCGGAAGCTCAAACATGCTTAAAACTTTATTCCATGGATCAAATCTAACCCAAAACCATAGAGAAACAGATTTAAAACCCCAGCAAAAAACAAAGAAAGAAAAGGCAGAAACTGTACCTTAAGGAAGAAGAGAGAACTGGCATTGGTGAAAAGATCTTTGGGACCAAAAATGTATGAAGTGATAAAGAAATTTACAAAGAGATGGTTCAGAGATTAAAAAGTCTGGCAAAAAATTCAAAGGACGCGAATGGGTTTATTCAGAAGAGAGATAAAATCTCAAAAGCAGAATGGGCAGCGAGAGTACCCAGAAATGTATGCTGTTTCCTCTTAGACACTTTGATTATACAAATGGACCCGCCACCTTATACTCAAGTGGTCTCACGTAATAGGGAAGGAAAGGGAAAGTCTGAGTAGGGATGGGCATTTAAATCCAACCTGACCCGATCGGGTCGGATTTTTTTATAAAAAAAAATAGATTCGGGTCGGGTCGAGTTTTTTTATGTTGTGCTCGGGTCGGTTCGGGTTTATGGTGAAAAAAATCTGACCTGACCCGAAAAATATATATAATTTTACCGTATATATTTAGGGATAATTACAATAATACCTCTCTATATATAATTTTTTTCAATTAAGTTATTATTTTTATTGAATATAAATATTTTTTTATTTCGGGTCGGGTCAGGTTTTTATGTCATATATTCGGGTTGGATCGGGTCGGGTGAAACCTTGTTTTGGTCGGGTCGGGTCTCAGGTGGAGGCTCTCTTGTTCTCGGGTCGGGTGGACCAAAAACCCGACCCATGCCCATCCTTTAGTGTGAGTAAGTTTGTATACAAAAATTAATTAATACATTCATATATACGTCGGGATCGAATTTAAAATATCAAATAATAACAATAATTTTTAATTTTTAAACAAATATTAATCTTTAAATATTCGTTATTGTAATCTAATTTAAGGTAAATAATTGCTATTTTATGTATTTTTATTTAATAATGATTTATATACTTAATTAAATTTTGAAAATTCAAATAATGTTTTAGGGGAATTACCTTCAATAATTGGGGAGAAAATACAATGTCAGAGCTGGCCCGAAAGGTTTTGGGATTCACACTTTCCACTGTACTGAAAAACTCATTTCCTTTTGGCTGCTTTCTTGATCCAACCACATAAATTTATTAAATATATGTAATTATTTATTATTTATTTGGAAAATTATTGTCGACTGTAAATATATTTTTTCCAAAATTTCAAATCAGTAACATATTATTGTCGCGAGGCAAATTGAATAGCCGTACAAATAGTCACATTTTAATAAATCTAAATAAGTAATATATATCATATGGTTTATTTAGGAATAACCCATCTATTTAAAACAAGTGATTTATTTGTTTTCATATTTTTGAAGTATTTAATTATTTATATTATATTACAACTTTTTAAAATAAATAATGATTACTGTATTTTTTAAAAATACTAAAAGAATTATTGCTACAAAAAGATATGTCGCCCACGCTATCCTTCCGCGTTGTGCATGCCGGCGCATGAACAATGTAAGGTATATTTAATTATCGTATTAGTTATTATATATTTTTTTGGATAAGTTTAGTTATTATATTTTTTTTGTGAGGAATTCGTTATATTTTTATTACGCTTAAAGATTATCTTTGTCTACGTATTAAATTTAGTTTATTATTTTTATTTTTATCGTATTTTCGTATTTATCGAACCCTTAAAGTTATTTAACCATTTTATACCCTACTACAACCTTAAACTCTTAAATTGAGAACCCTAAACTATAATCTTATAACCTCTAAATTTAAAACTCTAATTTAAAACTCTTGATTTAGGGTTTTAAGTTAGGGGTAAGGTATAGAATGATATAATTAGTAATTTCGAGGGCTAAATTAATACGAAAATATAATAGGGGTGAAAATGATAAATTGGGTCTACTATAGGAGCAAAGTTACCCTTTTGCCTTTTTATTATCTAATATTTTTATCATAATTTGAATATTATACGTTAACAAAATTATATTGTCCGTCTAGCTCAGTTGGTAGAGCACAAGGCTCTTAACCTTGTGGTCGTGGGATCGAGTCCTACTGAGGGTAATTCATAACGAAGGTCTTCCACGGAAGCTGCTTTCAACCTGGTGTTGGAGGACAGCCTACTACTCTACCTCCCCTTACCCCATTATATATAGGAATAGGGTCAACTAATTGTTATCCTTCCGCGTTGCGCATGCCGGCGCATGAAGAATGTAAGGTAGATTTAATTATCGTATTAGTTATTATTATTTTGTTTGTGAGGAATTCGTTATATTTTTATTAAGCTTAAAGGTTATTTTTGTCTATGTAGTAAATTTGGTTTATTATTTTTATTCCTATCTTATTTTCACATTAATATAATTTGTAAAGTTATTTAATTGTATCATTTTATACCATACTACAAACTTAATACCTTAAATTGAGAACCCTAAACCATAACCTATAACCTCTAAACCTGAAACTCTATTTTAAAACTCTCAATTTAGGGTTTTAAGTTAGGAGTAGAGTATAGAATGATACAATTAGCAATTTCGATGGCTAAATTGATACGAAAATACAATAGGAGTGAAAATAATAAATTGGGTCTACAATAGGAGCAAAGTTACCCTTTTGCCTTTTTATTATCTAATATTTTATCGTAATTTGAATAATATACGTTAACTAACGAGAGTTATTACTAATAGAAGTTGATTCAAGTAGTAAACAACTTGATATCGTTTAAGTAAGGTTTCGGGTTTAAGTCCTTGTCATTTCATCAATGATAAAACTAATAAAAAATTTATTTAATACACAAATAGTGTAAACTTTAATTTATGCAACATGATCTATTTTAAGGTATGTGTCTTATTTAAACTTTAAGAATCATAGTTTTATATGATTTTCTTTTTGGACCACAAATTTTATTTTATTTTTTTGAATAAAGTAGTGGAACCATCGTAATCACACATGTAGTGCCCACTCCCATAGTAGAGGGATGGTTGGTGTTTGTCTTTGCCTTAAAACCAAGGTATATACACGACTTTAATGAGCAAAATTCAAAAAATAAAGTCACTTTTAAAATGGTACCACCCTAAATGCCCCTAGAAATTAAATTAAAGAAGAAAATTCATTTATTCTCAATTATGAAATAGCCTTGTTATTAGATTAGATTCGATTATTTGTTCCAAAATATATACAATGAATATATAAAAAAGGAAATGTATTGACGTTTGATACATTTTTAAAGACACGAGGTTAAAATTAGTTTTCGGTGTTTATTAAAATAATTATTTTCAATTTTATTGTTTTTTTCAAATATTTTAGCTCCGAATGTTTTATTTTAAGGTAAGAAAATCTCTAACATTTGATCAAATAGTTATTTTAGTCCTTATTATTTATCTTTAGAGCATTTTGACCATCAATATTCCATTTTAAGATAAAAATTTATATTTTGGAATGTTAATTGTTTGTTAATTAACAATTTCTTTTCATATAGAGTTCTTTTTTTTTACCATGAAATGAAGCGTTTAATTTGATGTATAACATCGCTTTTTTTTTGGGAGTAAATGTAAGGTAGTATTTGTTCAAAGATAACTCTTAACCGTTTGACATTGAACTCTTAAATCCGTGACATTCATGGTGCTCGAACCCATTATCTCAAAAAATAACAAAAATTCTTTTATTACCGATGTCGTTTAATTCGTCTTCTTTTAGATTTTGGAAGGTGATAGAATGTAAACAAAATTAAAATGTAGATTAAGAACCAGATATTTAAATATTTATACAATAAAATCGGAACGTAATTACTCAAAAATCTCATACACTATTACACTCATCGTTTGAAAAGTCTTAAATTTCACTCGAAAATATCCAATTATTCATTTATTAATGTAGGTAAGTACAAATAATATATGTTTAAAAATAATTCTCATTAATTGATATTAAACGCTCGTACCTTTAATATTTTTTATGCTCAAACTCGAGACCTCAAAGAATAATAACAATTCATTTATTACAAATATCAATTGAATTCGAACCAATAATTCATTTACAGACGTGAGAATACGTCGAATTTTAACAAAGATGTATGATTTCATTTTTGTTCTTATAAATGGATGGGGAAAATAAAAGGAAAAAGAAAATATCACAAGGACTTCTAACGGTGAGGAAATGATCACGTGCTGCAGTTTTAGTATACGGTTAAAAAAGATATTATTAGTTTTGTTATTATTTAAATAATAAAATCGGTAAAAATTTACCGAAAATATTATTATTTATACCAGTATTATTATTATTGGGCGCTTTATCGGTTTTGTTAATAAAATCGATAAATCACTACCGATTTTATTATTATTAGATAATTTATAAAAAATATTAAAAAAATATTAATATTTTTAATAAAAATAATAATATTTTAAATCATTTTTATCGATTTTATTATTTAAATAATAATAAATTAGATAACATATTTTTTAAACTTTATATTAAATGTGTCGCACTATAAAATTTTTGGTGCAAATGCAATGTTATGCCAAAACAAAGGAGACATAAATAAAGCAGTGTCTTGGAGGGGCCATGCCCACGACGCCTACCGACTGACGTTACACTGTGTCCTACTAATATCCAAAACTTATAATTAGAAATATAATCAACTTTCCATTTGATGTCGACATGGAAAAGACTATATACTCATTTTCATGAATTATTGAAAAAATAAATAATTAACAATGTTAAATCTTATTTAATAAATACATTTTTCTAGGTCCACGTGTATTTAATATTTCACAAATATATTTTAATATATATCACATTATTTTCAAATAAATATTTAATATATAAATTGATGAAAAAAAATTACTTGATATGATAATGATATTATAAAATAAAAATAAAAATATCAGTATAGACTTACTCATATATTCAAATGAAGATCCAGAAATTTGGGCTTAAATTACAGACAGAGTCCAACTCACCAGAAGCCCAGCCATCGGTGGTATCGCTGCGCTAAGCTCACTCACTCGTATCGCTTTCAAGTAAATAGTATGGGGTATTAATTTTTCTTCTTCTTCTTGAATTTGTTTTGAATTTACGTTGCTGATCGACGTCTTCGTTGCTGCTCCAAGTTTCCCTCGATCACTTCTCGCTCAACGATTTCAACTTGTTTTTTGTTTTTATTTTCTTGAATTTGATTCGTGTTTGGCTTATTCATCGATGTATTTGTTTTAATCTGTAGCTAGAGTTAAAAAAAATCCCCAAATGGGTTGCATGCTCTTCTTCCTCGCAAAACCCTTCTTAAACCCTAACCCTAAATTCCCAAATCCACGTTCATTATCCACCTCTTTCCTCATAACCAAAACCCCAAAGAAACATAAATCCAAACGCCCCAAATACGACTCTCCCCGTACCCGATCCGTCACGCCCGACTCCAACAAAATCCCTCACTTCGAATCGCTCCTCACCCGCGACGCAAACTTCCGGTTCCTCACCAAAACCAAAGAATTCCTATCCAAACAACCCGAACAGATCCTCCGCCTCGATGACGCCGGAAAACTCTATCGGGAACTCGGTTTCCCTCGCGGCCGCAAAGTCACCAGATCGATTTCGCGCCACCCGCTTCTCTTCACCACCTACCGTCACTCCGACAACAAAATCTGGCTCGGGTTTACCCATTTTATGGACCAATTACTCCTGAAAGAGAGATCAATCATGGAAGCAATGGAAGAAGATCGAGTCACGAGGGTCCGTAAATTGTTAATGATGTCGAAGAATAAACGGATTCCGCTAAGCAAAATTTATCATAAACGGCTTATATTTGGAATTCCTGAGGATTTCAGGGACAAAATCGGGAAATACCCTGATTATTTTCGTCTAGTGGTTGAAGATGATGGGAAACAAGTACTTGAGTTAGTAAATTGGGATCCGAGTTTAGCTGTTAGTGCATTGGAGAGGGAGTTTTTAGTGAATGAAGATAAGGTTAAGAAAGCTTTCAAGTTCCCGGTTAAGTATGGGAAAGATTTAGGGTTGGAGGAAATTGACGTGAAGAAGCTTAACTTGCTAAACACGTTACCGTTGGTTTCACCTTATTCAGATGGGTGGAAGTTGGACCTGTGGAGTTTGGAAGCCGAAAAATATAGGGTCGGAATTATACATGAGTTTTTGGGCTTGACTTTGGAGAAGAGGGCTTTGATACATCATATTGTGGAGTTCAAGGAAGAATTTAGTCTGACTAGACAAACTTACGAGATGCTCAAGAGACAGCCTTGGACGTTTTATTTGGCGGGGACGGAGATGAATTGGGCGGTGTTTTTGAAGGATGGGTACGATGACAATGGTAATTTGATCAATAAGGATCCACTAATGGTTTTCAATGAAAAGCTTTATAAGTTTGCTCAAATGCACGAAGAAGAAGAGATTTCTGGATTTAGGGAGAAATTATGAGGGGATGAAAATTTTCTCATGGTTAACCTTGTGGGAACTTGTGTATGGTAAAACTAATCTTAAATCTTGTCTCATCAACAAAACCTTTGAATGAATTACATTACCCTGTTTTGTTAAATGTATGTTTTTACAGGTATTGTCTATCAACAAATGTGATTGGATTTGTATATGTGGGGTTTCAAGCCTATGCTCTAGCTTACCATCTTATCATACAAAAACATGTTATCAGCCATTGCTTTGTTCAGCATTTTGATTTCTCCATGGATCAGGCAAGTTTTTCGTATATATAAAATACTCGTTGTAATTTAGCCACTTTTGCTTCATTCTTAGTGCTTCATTCTTAGTCGTTATTCATCCCTGGCATTTTGGTTTTGGGTGACATTTGTTATCTTAAGTAGCATACAAGTTGATTCCATATTTGGCTCTGTTTGCATTGTTCTATCTATATGACAATCTTCAGCCTTAGCCTCGTATGATTTTATGTCCAAAGGCAATCCTAGAAACATCATGAAGGCGATAAAATAGTAAACCGTATTAATCGGGTCGAGTTCTAAGTAAATTGGTCAAAGTATAAATGATAAATTATGAAAGTAAATTAGTTATAATTTGCTAGGGACCACAGCCCCTGCATGCTCATCCTAGATTTGCCTTTTGCTATGTTGTCAAGTATCAGTTTATCACCATAAGCAACTAAGTTAATTAGATTACCCATTTTTTGTGATAGGTCGTGTTCATTTCACATGCCTCTGCATCCAATATGGTAGCAAAATTGTTCAATATGCATGGATTTGAGTACTATAAAATATATATATATATGGGTGTTTGAATCACAAAATGTCCAAGTGAAACACATTCAAATGCATTTATGTGTGTAAACACAGATAGAATTGCTTGCTTTTTTGGTTCATCCTGCTGATACTAGCCTATCTTTATGCTTTCAGCATCGTCTGCATTGGCCACGAGTCAAGTGAGCAATCTAATAATTGAGCCCAAGATGAATTCACTGAGATGGTGAGTGCCTCAGTTGGAAATGGCCTTTCTGGCTTTAACGTTTGTGGTATTGTACAAGCTCTTATGAAAAGGTTGGGCCCTGCGTGGTTTTTTCTACATTATCTAAATCGGCAAGATCTTTTTCTATCTATAAATCGAAAGATACCCGTTCTCTTCTACGTTGAATTGTTAGTATTTTGTCCTATTTTTTCATTTTTATCATATTGGTTATCATAAGTTTTTATCTTTTTTATCACTCCAAATCGAATAAATTATCGATTTTTATTTCAACTGATCAATTCGATTATGACAACATGAGATTTGCTGGTAGCTAGATAGCTGGCTGTTAGTGGTAGGTTTTAATATGACAAATGATTGAAGGAGACGTTAGGTTTAATTTAGAGAAAGGGAATTTATTGAGAAAGACATTAGGTTTATTAATGGGAAGAGATTAGAAATTATGAGGAAAGTGGGAGATTTGGCATATGGTTCCCTAAAACCATTCTTATGCCAACTTTTGTGGGTATAAAATCAGCCACTCTTTATCATGTCAATACCGTGTTTACTAGTAGTTTTTATATTTATATTATTTTTTAGATAAAATATTTGTTAATACCTTAAATTTGGTAATTTTTTAAATTAGAAAAATACGTTAAAGTCAAGGAATAAAAGGTATTTAACTCCTTTTAATCTATATAATAAATTGTTATATATATATATAGCGGCAGATGTATGTTGATGTTAGGGCGTGCATGTGTCTATTCTGAAATTTTGAGGGATTTGATTTTTTTTCCTTTAAAATTTGAAGTTTTCCTTATTCATATATGTGTGTTTATCCTTAAATTTTATCATGTCCATCCTGAAATTTTATCGTATCCATCTATATATGAAAATTTTATATTATTAATATATGTGTATCACTCTAAAAAAAATTTAGATTCGTCACTGTATGCATACATATTATAGCATCAACAAAAGTTTTACTTGAATGTACAATTTTTTATTTTCATATATATACATGTATGTGTGTGTGTAAATTTTTATTTTCGGAGATAAAATTTTATGAACTCACATAATAAATATAGATATTTGAAATAAAATCATAAATATAAACTAAATTGAAAAATATTTTAAAAAGTTACCTTCAACTAAAATAAAATACTTGATAACTAAATTTAAATCCTCACCTTAAATAAGAATAACAACCAAACAAGGAAAAACATAATTTTTTGTATCTTGTATTTAAAAATAACAAAAAAATCATTTATTTAAAAATAAAACAATAAGAAAAAATGGTAACTATTTTTAATAAATTATATATAAGTGATTTTTAAATTTTAAATTTTTTTCATATTTTTAAGCAATTAAATTTAATAATTTATTATTTATATATATTTTTGAGAGAGTCAAACTTCAAAATTATATATTATGAATATAAATATATATTATATTTTTTTAATATTTTTTTAATATTTTTGGGGAGGGAGCCATGGGGCCCTCTAGTCCCAATGACCTTCCGCCCCTCCACATACATATTTTTCCTTATAGTTTTTATATAAAATTTAAGCTTGATGGTTTATTATATCAATTGGTTTAAAAAAAAACTCATGATCATAAAATTTACTTAAAATATATATATATATATATATATATATATATATCAATTGGTGTTTGTAAGGTAGTATTTGTTTAAAATATTTCTTAATTACTGATAATGTGTACACATCCTATAGACGTAGTTGCTCAAATTCAAAAAATTTAAGAGGAATAATATTTACTTTAACCACCGAGAATATTTGGCGGGTTTAAATTAAATATTATATTTAAATTTAAAAAAAAAGAGAAGAGAAGAGACAAAATTAAAGCAGCTAGGCAAAATATTGCACAGCTGGTTGAAACCTCAACCAGTAATTAATTATAATTATATTTTGTCTTTTACTTTTGTGGAAATTAAAAATAATTTCAATGACAATAATTAATTAATTAAATTAAACTGAAATTGGGTCAGTAACAAATGAAAGTACCAAACGGTCAATTCCCCAAACTTTAAGATTTCGTAAAAGATGTTGTCAATGAATCCAAAGGACAACTAGCTTTGCACAACATTTTGGTTGGAACCGATTAATAAACGAAAATAATAATAATAATAAATCTTAATCATTATTTTATCAGTATAATTATTGATATCTAATTATTTAATATAATAATCCGATTCAGATATTATAGAGATATATTATGAAGACAATCTTATTTTTCTAATCTAATTTTCTCTATTCACAATATTTAGATTTAAACTCGACAATATTTAAAGGACCTATCATCTTATCCTATTTGTTGATACTCGTTTTCGTCCCGCTATTATTATTATTATTAGTAGTAGTAGTAGTAGTACTATTAATATAGTAATGTTATCGTTATCACGTTTTATCGTTAACCGATCATCAAAAATTATTTTGAAACGAGACTCCTCTTTTTCCCTTTTCGAAAAACCGTTTCGACACTATTACTTCGACTAATAATTAGTTCGATTACTATCTTTTTGGTGCGTAAAAAACAGATCATAAGCTACCCCTTTTAACCAAATAAATATAATTATAAGCTGACCCTATTCCCATATTTAATGGAGTAAGGGGAGTGTTGAACTATGTTTCGATATAACAATTTAAGGCAAAATGGTTTTTGGACTTGAATTGAATTTACAAAATGTGTTTGGACTTAATTGAATTTATTCAAAATTTACAAAAATAATTCAAAGTTCTTTTAATTTAAAATTGAGCACAAAAATGTTTTTATGAAAATTAATTTACTATTTGAACAGTAAATTACTATTTGAATAGTAAATCACTGTTTGAACAGTACTCGAGGCTCAAAAATTCCAGTATGTAAAAGGGGAACTGATTCCCCCAAGGGGGTATCGATTCCCTCACTGTTCATCAGCCCAACGGTCATAATATTTGAATATTATGAAGGGGTATCGATTCCCTATGAAGGGGTACCGATTCCCCCCATTCTGGGCATCCTATTTTTGCAGAAAAATCATTCCCAAACGACTCCAAAACATCCCCAACGGCTAGATATGACTTCAAACACATTCCAGGCTATAAATACAAGCTAAGGACACTTGAAGAAATAAGAGAACAACTATCCAAGCAATCAAACACAATAGAAGAATTTTTCATTCTTATTGCATCTTTCTCTTGTGTATATTTTGTTCTTGTGAGCTCAATCTTGTAAACACCTACCTTAGAGAGGTTTTCATGTTTACATTTCTTATCCTTTTGTCAAGGGGAAATGTTCTAGCTTAGCCCGTGTAAAAGCTAGGGAAAGGTTCTAGTTTAGCCCGGAAAAACTAGGGAGTTTGTAAGGTTACTCTTTATCCTCAAAAGAAAGAACAAATTAGTGAATTTGTTGGAAAATCCTTGGTGAGGAGCTAAGGTAGTGGACGTAGACTTTGATTGAGAAAGTCGAACCACTATAAATCGCTGTCCAATTCTCTATCTTTCAATCTCCCTACTCCCTAAACACAAAACCGTTCCGACCTCTCTTTGCAAATCGTTCCGGTTATCGTTTCGAGCTTCCGAAAATCCTAACAATTGGTATCAGAGCCTAACTCGTTAAGAAGGTTTAACCACCTTGAGACGATCCTAGAAGAAGCTCTACCAATTCCCTACACAACCGAGAAGATTGCTTCCACCTCCGGCTCGTTCCACATGGAAGACTCCCTACCAACCGAAAAACCTCCATACTTAAATGGAGTCAACTATCATCATTGGAAGAAATTAATGAAGGTATTCATCCAATCCAATGATCTTGATGTATGGGAGATAATCGAGAATGGCTACTCTTCTCTAAAGAAGAAGGAGAAGAAGCGGAGTGACAAAGAACGGAAGAAAGCTCAACTTAATGCCAAGGCCATGCACATGTTGTTTTGTGCATTTGGTCCTGAAATCTATGAAGGGGTTTCTTCATGTTCAAGTGCCAAGGAGCTTTGGAATAAGCTCGAGGAAATCCATGGAAACAAGAAAGAAGAACCAACAAAGGTGGTGTCTCTAATGGCTTATGAAGAGCCCGAGGTATCTTCTAACTCAAATGAATTTAATTCATATACGTTTGATGAGTTACAAGATGCTTTTAATAAATTATATTTGGAGTTTGAGACCATGAACTCCAAATATAAGAAAATGATTTCAAAATTTAAATTTGAAAACGATTTTCTTTTAAAAACAAAAATAGATT